CTCCTCAGAAGCAAGGATGGCAAGACCATGTCTTACATACTTTGACACGTTATCAGGAGGGACCAGTCCCTGGAGAAGGACATCATGCTTGGGTAAGTACAGGGTCAGTGAAAAAGAGGAAGACCCTCAAAGAGATGGATTGACACAGTGGCTGCAACAATGGGCTCAAGCATAACAACGATTGTGAGCATGGCACAGGACTGGGCAGTGTTTCATTCTGCAGTACATAGGGTCGCTATGAGCTGGAACTGACTCGACAGACTTAACAACAACAATGTAATGATTGTTTTCTGATTAAAATCAGCTATTACCTACAAATATACTTTAGAATTGGGAAATTTAATTATTTGACATAAAATACAGGTTGTGCTTAGAGTTTTAATAGAACTGACAAGTTAGAAATACAGATTACTTGACTAATTTTGTTCCCCTGAATTAACTGGTCTCTGAATTAACTGATTAAGCTAGAATTTTTACGTAATTATTTTCAACTTCTCTACTTATCATATACATTAAAAGCATTCAATTTAATAATACACCATTATTTACTCTTCCTTAGAGGCTTACAAGTATTTCTAGATTTTAAGAAATAAGTAGGAAAGGCAATAACTATATAGATCCAAGAAGCTGTGTGGTTTTATGCTTGAATACATTAATGCCAAATGCCAAAACAGAAATCTGATATTCTGGTTATATATATATCAATATTTTATAAACTCATCTACACACTCATGGATAAGAACGGGCTAAAACATTCTTTAAAGCTTCTTTTCTAAATAGTCTGTTTACTCAGAAGTCTTTGGCTATGCTGCAATTAATTTATTACTTTGTTTAATGATGTACATTCTAGTAGTTAAAAGAGGTCCAGCAACCACATTCTGAGTGTCTCCACTCCGCACCGTATTTCTGCGTTATATTTCTTGAAAGGAAAATGTCTATGTCCAGCTAAAAACTTAAAAAAAATAGGAAACGCTAACTCACTCTGTGATGGTTAGGTTCCTCAACTGGTGTTTTGATTTTATTTTTTCCCTGTTGGGAACATTTTAACTTTCTTGTGTAATTCTAGATAAATCTTATCAAGACACATATTCTAAAAAGGAAAATTTATCATCAATGCTTTCTATGAATGGATTGATGAAAAGCATTTAGGTTTTTAATAGCAACTAATAATGTATTTTTCACATTTTCTTGAAACTGAAATCAAGATAGGTTGGTGTGAGGTTAACTTTAGCTAAAGAATTTGGCCTTTGCCCTTGGTTCCAGAGAGATAATGTCAAAAGTCTTCAAATTCTCCATGATTGAAATGTCTTTAACTAAAGAGGTTTCATATCACACCTGAGGGTTTATGCTAATGAGGTGACTCTTGGGTGGGAACTGGCCAGACCAGAAAGACCAATCATGGAGTATCAGCCCAAACTCTGTGGAGGGGTGGGGAGGCTGGAGGATAAGTCATTCAATCACGCCCAAGTATGAGGCTCCGAGAAAGGCTTTGGACATGGAAGCTCCATGGGCTTTCTGGTTGGTGATAGACATTAGTGAACATGGGAGACACCTGGATACCCCACATTGGGAACCCTCCCAACTCTGCCTTATGAGTCTCTTCATTTGTATCCTTTTTGCTATAACAAAACTGTCGTTAAAGTGTAGTGCTTTCCTGAGTTCTGTGAGTCATTCTAGCAAATTATCGAAGCTGGGGGAGTAGTGGGAGCCAGCAGGACAGAAGTGAGAGTGTCATGGGGATTCCAAAGCTTCCAGCTGGTGTCTAATGTCTTGGACAGACTTGGAAGTCTGGAGGGCTGTGTCCTTTAACTAGTGAGATCTGATCTAGTTCTGGGTGGTTAGGGTCAGAGGAAGAAATACTGCATGTGCCAGAAAAAGTCATTGCTATCGAGTCAATTCTGACTCATAGTGACCCTATAGGATAGAGGAGAACTGCCCCATAGGGTTTCCAAGGAGCAACTGGTGGATTCAAACCACTGACCTTTTGGTTAGCAGCCGAGTTCTTAACCACTGTGCAACCAGGGCTCCAAGTACTATGTAGTAGCACTCAAATTAGAACAAGTGGCAACCAGAGAAGACACATACGGTAGACAATTAGGGGGGAATAAAATAGGAAGGTCCATTGATGAGAGAAGGCAAGATTTGTTTCTTTCCCTACCTCTAATGCCTTCCTACAACATCATTAATGAGGAAAGAATCTGGACTACTACTTACCATGTCCACCCAGTTTCTCATACAAACTGACTCAAAGTGCTAGAATGCCAACAAGGGTGGCACTTTCTTTTGCTACTGGCTTCTGCTTAGTTCTAGAGTCTGGCATGGTGCTAGTTTCAAGCTTGCCAGCAGCTATAGAAACTTTATTTTATTCCCAAGGTTACCAAAAGAAGTGGTATCATTTATAAATTTACACACTGAAGGTAAGAATAAAAATTGCTTAACATAATAACAATTTTAGAAAGGGGAAAAATTCTCCAAGCCATATAACATTAACACTGAACAAATTTATTATGACAACTCTGTCAAATGGGAGTAAGGGAGAGATGTTCTTGACCTTTTCCAGGCCTACAGTTATGCTATTGTTCATAATCAATGTAGCGTTCTCTTTGGCACAATATTTGTTGCTTAATTTTTTTTTTTTTTAAGAACAGAACTAATCTAGATGTATAAACTGCAGGTGCTATCTCAGGCAGTGATGAATTAACCCTTTTGTTACTACTACATTTTTTCTCCTTTTTTTTGTTTTTTTGGATGGTATGTGTTTTCAGCACTGGAATGTAGGCTTACCAAGTGTGTTTAAATTTTTTAGTAACATGGATTTTGGAGCCTTGGTGACACAGTAGTTAAGGGCTTGCCTGCCAACCAAAAGGTCGGCAGTTCAAATCCACCAGCCGCTCCTTGGAAACCTTATGGGGCAGTTCTATTCTATCCTATAAGGTTGCTATGAATCGGAGTTGACCTGACGGCAATGGGTTTGGTTTTTTAAATATGGATTTTGAGAATTATGACCTGGTAATACAAGCCATCAATGAGGCAAGTGCGACTGTGGTGTCACCGATCTGTGGTATGACAATATACCAATGAGAGCTCTATAGATCATTTATTGCGGGCACCTTTCCATTAGGTTATATGCGGAACTTTTGGTAAAGGACACCTCTGCTCCCGGCACTGCCTTCTTGGTATAAGGTCCCCAGTCTCTCTGTTTGCTTCTCCCTTTTATATCTCAAGAGATTGCCTCAAGGCACAATCCAATCTTGTAGACTGGGTTCTGCCTCATTAATGCAACTGCGGCCCATCCTCCCTCATTAACATCATTGAGGCGGGATTTACAACACATAGGAAAATCACACAATACCAGGAATCATGACCCAGCCAAACTGATACACACATTTTTGAGGGGACATAATTCAATCCATAACATCTTCTCAGATAGGCTTTGTATATTTTAAAAAGTACATCCAATTGCTTTGATATTATGAAAAGCCGTAAGACTAGGAATAAATGTTAAATTTCACATGGGAAATTTCAAAACATCATCTAACAGGAAACTTAGAATTGATTCCTAGTGATATTGGACAGTTTTTCAAATGCAATAAATACTAAGGTACAGCAAGTTGGTAATGGGACAGTTTATTCATATATAAGTAATTAAAATCCACTGGAATTTAAAAAATTATATTCTGTATATACATCTAAATGATAATGCTTCAATAATTTTTTTTCAATGATGTTCTACTTTTATCAATGAAAATATTTCAGTAAACGAGCTTCTGCTATATTTTTCTGACCATAGCAATGTTGTTCTAGAAGATATTCAGTTTAGCCGTCTAGACCCCCTTTGAAATTTCAGTTACAACTTTTCTTTAACAGATCACAGTTGCCATTTGGGCTGACAGTATTTACATTTAAAAAAAAAACAAAAGAAGCAGTAGTTTGTTTTCAAAACTCACAATGTGCAATTTAGTTTTTTTTTTGGTAAAAATAAAGTCAGAATCACAGGCTTCTAAAGTTAATAAGCAATATAAATCATTATTTGGAATAATCTATCACACCATGCAAAATGTCCTCTATATTGTTTCTAATGTGTTAACTCATTCATCCATTCAAAAAATAGTTGAATGCTATACTAAAATTTGAGATATAACAATGGTACCGAATCAGCATCTGCCCTCACAGAGTTTACCGCTAAGGTGAGAGAGAATATATATAGGATCCAAGGAAAGGAGAAGAAAAGGGCCTAACCTGTATCAGGCAAACTCTCCCTGATCTGAATTAGAAAAGGTTAAGAATACCAAGAAGAGGCAACACTTAGTATACAAGTGCAGAGCGAAGAAAGAGTATGGTTTGTTTTAAGAACTAAAAGAAAACTAGCGAGAAATTGGGCTGTAAGTACAGGCAGGAGACAGATAATGGAATGCTCACTAATCCACATCTGAAAATCTGGATTTAGCTTAAAGGGCAATGGAAAGTTATTGAAAAGCATATTCCTGCAATCAATATTCCACTGCCATCAAGTCGAATTTGACTCCTAGCGACCCTATAGGATAGAGTAGAACCACCCACAGGGTTTCCAATATCGTAAATCTTTACAGAAGCAGACTGGCACATCTTTCTCCTGCGGAGTGGCTGGTGGGTTCCAGCCAGCGACCTTTCAGTTAGCAGCAGAATGCCTAACCATTACACCACCAGGGCTCCTTACAATCAGTATTACCTATGCAAAAATAAAATGAACCCCAAAATTCCACTAACATTTTATGAATACACTGGAAATAGAAGTTATGAAACTGAATAACAAAGAGAAATATTGGCTCCAGAAGCACAGAAATTACCTAAGCTATTTTAAGTATCAACACAAATCCTTTTCCAAGTCTTTTGTGTGTTTCCTATTTAAAATAAAAATGCTATCTGGGTGATCTCATTTCTTGATGTGGCAGTGATAATAAATGGCCTAAGATAAAGGCATGCCTCGACCCACTCCCAAATGAAAAGTCAGTGGTACTTACTGCATCCAGCCTTATAGCTGAAGCCTGGAGGAAGGAGGAATCCTTGCTGGGCGGCTGCAGCCAGTGTCCGTTGATCAGGAGGGAATACGGGAATCATTAATGGCGGCAGCTGACCTTGAACCTGCTGAACATGATAGAGCGAATCAAAGGGAAGAAGTTCTGGTGCTCCATGCTTCCCACCCTCCTTACTTTATGATAAAAGAAATAATTTATTCAATTCAATCCAAACTGTCATACAAGCTTGCTAAAATACTCGCTTGAGGATCATGCCTTGGACTACCTTAGAAGAATCAGAAAATCCTAGAGTTAGATATTATCAAGTTCAACCTCTAACTTAATGAATAATTGCCCTACATAATATATTTGACAGTGATGAAAATGCCACTACTTTGTGTGAAAAGCCATTTTATTATTGCACTAAGGTAACAGTTAAAAGATTCTCCCTTAGATTAAACTGAAATCTCCCTCTGTAAATCTCACATGTTAGGACTAATTCTACCTTATGAAACAAAACTAAATAAACCTGCATCATTTTATATTATATATCAATCGTTCTTCATTTATCTGGAGATATTTCCCATGTTGACACGTGATATTGAAATTTAAAAATTCTAGAATATTAGAGCTGGCAGAGAGCTTAGGAGAGACTGGTACCAAAACAGAACTGACTTGCCCATGGTCACAGAATGAGTTAGGCAGAGCGGGGCCTAGTCTCCAGTCTCTTGAACCCATATACAGACCCTCTCTACTACGTGTATGTCTTTGTCCTTTTTGAAGCAATTGAACTACTCCTCAAACCACATGGCTTCTGTTTTGGTTGGCATCTTTGGAATACACTCTAATTTACTAGGGTCTCTCTCAGGGAATGGGGTTCACATCAATCAATAAATAATCTGGCCCAATGGAATCACTATCTTCTTTGAACTAAACAGGAATCTCTAGAAATGTACCCTAAGATATTAGCCATTTTTGCAGCTATGTCACATTATTGACTAATGCAAATGTTGTCATTAACTAAAATTCCTAGGGTTTTTTTTTTAATTCAAATACGTAGTTAATCAAGATGTCCCTGGTGAACATGATCATGATCATTGGTTAGTATTAATCATTGGTTATATGAATGAGAATTTAAGATCCTGCTGAAAATCACATATCTGATACTTTATTCTCTCTTACTACTGCTTTTGCACATTGACTCAGTTGTTTGGAAAATATTTAATGAAGATCTACTCATGTAAAAGAAACTGAGCTAGTCAGTAAGGATATAATAGCGAACATGAAAGCCAAGACCCTACGCCCATGTAGTTTAGATTCTAGTGAAGAAGATTGTAAAAAAAAACAGTAAAACAAATGAAGACAGCTAATTAGACATTCCTTCAGTCATAAAGCCTTGTAGGCACCACTTACATATTTTTTTAAACCAGTCCTCTTTTTCCCACTGGCATTGCATATTCCCAGAGTTCTTCTGATTCTTACAGAGCTCATCATTTCTTACTTTAGAAGTGTGCCTTCAGTTTCTTTCTCCTTCAGTTTATTTTTTGCAGTAAACCTCTGAGCAATTTCTGAGATTTTGGTTGGTGGGTGTGTGTGGCAGGGCAAGGGAGGAGGAAGTAAGTGAGGAAGTGATGGAGGAAAAGAGAAGGAAGAGAGAGAGGAAGAGAGAGAGACAGTAAGGGAAGGTGGCATAAGGAGGGAGAGGGAGAAGGAGAGGGAGAGAGAACTTCTCGTCCTTCGTGGGCATTATAAGGAAGAGAGATCTGTTTTCATCAATAACTCCAAATCAGAAGCATTTCTTTTAGCCGAAAGGATTTTAAACTTATCAATACCACCGGAGTGAAAACCAAAACCAAACCCATTGCTGTTGAGTCAATTCTGACTCACAGCGACCCTATAGGACAGAGCAGAACTGCCCCATAGGGTTTCCAAGGAGTGGCTGGTGGATTCCAACTGCCAATCTTTTGATTAGCAGCCGTAGCTGGCAGTAGCTCTTAACCATCGTGCAATGAAAACAATGAGTGAAACAAAAAGCCAGTGTCTTAAACTTAGAGCTGAAAGTTTATATCCATACAGCCAGCATTTCTGGAGCATACTGGGAAAAATCAAGATAAGCCTTTTTTTGAAACCAACTGAACACAATGGATTAAAGATTCAAAAATTAGAGATTGCATATTGAGCAAGTATGTAAGATGAACTGTCCTAAAAAAAGAGGCAGATAAATATACCGGTGCAAACCAACCTGGGGGCCTATTCAATGTGAGAAGCGAATGCAGGCCAGAAGAAAAAACTAGCAGTCAGTCACACTGGTTAAGGGCTATCACCAGCTACTGTATATCCTTTATACTTCATTGTTTCTACAGAAGTATTATACTTTATATAGCACACTTTCTCCTGTCTAAAATGCCATTGGTTATAAGATATACCATAAATTTAATAAGAGCATTTTGGAGCACAGAGGTAAGGAACCTCAAGTTAAACACATACAAGGGTTATAAGAGGCATTCAAATTTCAAAAAAAAAAAAAAAGAAAAAAAAAAAACCAAACTCGTTGCCGTCAAGTTGATTCCAACTCATGGTGACCATATAGGACAGAGTAGAACTGCACCATAGAGTTTCCAAGAAGTGCCTGGTGGATTCGAACTGCCAACCTTTTGGTTAGCTGCCATAGCAGTTAACCACTATGCCACCAGGGTTTCCATTCAAATTTCAGATACTTCAAAATGTGGACAAAACGAGTCTGAAAACTGCAGAAACAATAGGTTCTTGCTTTAGTGCAGTACCTAGTTCTCAAACTGGCATACAAGACAATGCCAGTGCCCAGGCTTCTTCCCAGACCAATTAAATCAGAAACTCTCTAGGGGTGAGACCCAGCTATCAGCATTTTTTAAAGCTCCTCTGCTGACTGCACTGTGCAGACAGGTTTTAGAAGTACTGTTTTAGAAGAAGGGTTTCACTACCTGTCAACAAATCTTTTTGCTTTCCCAGAGTGCACCTCCAGGTTCAACTATTTATTTTTATAAATAGTTGAAAGGGAGCTTCTGCCTATTAAGGGTTCTGGCGCTACAAGGATAAAACCAGATATTAAACTATGTTCCTCATAGAACTTCTTCTAAATGACTTTTGAATTTGTATTTTATATTCCCTGCTTCTTTAAAAACTTTTGATGGTTTGCTATTACCTAGAAAATAATGACCAAATCCCTCAGCATGGTGTTCAAGATTTTTCACAATATATTCCTGGTCTATCTTCCCAGACACTTCTGCGGTCCTCCTTCACATATCCTGTACTCTTTGCCCCAGTGGACTATGAACAGTTTCTGACATATTCTGTATTCTTCCACGCTGGAATATGTTTAGTAGTGGTTTCTCCTCTGTTTTGGATATTTCTTTTCCTTCTCTTTCTGCAAAACTCTATTACTCCTTCAAAGTCTTTCGAGATTCACATATGTCTGCCTGTGAAGCACTTCTTATTGTGTTAACAACTAATTTTCAGTTCACTGCTGCTGAAATTTATCTACTGTTTGGGAGAAAAGGACATACCATATCAAAACAGTATAGTGTCTTTTAGACAAATTCTAAAACTGATTTGTTATAGGGTTAGTAATTCATTCTATGTATTTGCTAGCTTTGTATTTTAGTATTACAGTTTGTTTTACTGTCTGTTTTTTTCAAAATCCACCTATACAGAATAATATAGAATTTCAAACCTTTTAGACAGAAAGAACTGTTGCTTCTTTTAACCTCATAAAGCTAACACCATTTTAATCTCATTAAAGCTAACACCATTGAATAATAGTTATTTGTGTAACACTGAGTGTCCCCATGACCTATGAGCTCATTTAGGAGGGACTGTAATTTAGTTATCATTGTATCTTTAGGGCTTAGAGCAGCACTTGAAACTATTATATATAGTGATAATTCATAAATCCCAAAACAGAACGAAACATACAGTTCTCATCATTCCAGTTAAATCTTCATGCATTAACTCCAAATGTCCACAAAAGGCCTGTGGACAAAAAAACAAAAACAAACAAACAATAAACCAGTATCTAATGACCACAAAGGAATCTAGTAGTCCCCTGAGACAAATGGAAAGATAAAGTACCAGTTGCTTTGTGTTCCTACTCATAAAGTACGGCTAAGCGATTTTAGCTTATACATTACATATCCATGACTTTCAGAATGATTCATACACGAAGAAATAGAAAAGTAATCCAGAAATATTAGAAATCTATTTAATCCTTTTGTAATGGACAGGTATGCCTGTCTATCATATTCTAATACCATGCTGTTTTAATTTTTATAGCTTTGTAATATGTTTTGATAATAGGAAATTCTAGTATCCTATCATTATTTTCTTTCACAAAAATTTCTGATATATTTCTTACATTTTTTTCCACATGAATTTTAGAATATGAAATTTCTTTTTGAATTGAATATTTTGACAGCTTGATAACCAATAGCAGTTTATGTCTTTCAATTTATTGAAGTCTTTGCTTCATATAATGCTTACAGTTTACTTGGTAATTTTATTTCTAGTGTTTTTTATAACATATGTTTTTATTGCCATTGTAAAGGGAATGTTTTCTTGATTATGTTGTTTAATTGGTTGTTGTTTGTACATAAGGATACCTATTTGTGTCAGATAATTCTTATCCAGATAATTCACTTTTACTCTTACAGTTTATAATAATTTTCTAGGTAAAAATTTAGTTTTTTAAAGAATAAAATGCAAAGAATTCTAGGGCTTTTATTAAATTTATGTATTCTAAACTTTTATCTTATTATGGATTAAATTATTGAAATGTATTTTTTTTTACTATTACAATTTGTTTTGCTGTCTAATTTTTTTTCAAGATCCACATATATAGACTAACATAGAATTTCAAAGCTTGCACAGATCATAGATATCATCTGGGACAACCCAGGCAACGTATTGATAAGGAAACAAGACCCCACATGGCCAAATAAATTGTTCAATATCCCTACTCAGGGAAAAATAAAAACAGGGAAATAAAAAGGAACCAAATGGAAAATAAACCTAATTTCACAGTCCCAATAATCAGTTTTCTTCAGACTATAAAATAATTTACTGTAGAGCACTGTACTAATATTCAGAATAAAT